ACACACAGGTATACACACAGTATACACACAACCTACACACAACCTACACACAACCTACACACAGGTATACACAGATTTGTATACACAGATTAATATACAAACAAGTGTACACAGTACAGGTATAAGTACAGGATGACACACTGGTGTATATACACACAGGTACACACACAATCTACACACAACCTATACACAACCTATACACAACCTACACACAGGTACACACACAACCTACACACAACCTATACACACCCTACACACAGGTACACACACAATGGGACGTGTAGAATGAAAGTAATTTGGATGAAATGTTGTGATTTTAAGGTCAGAGTTGGTTCATTTTCCGTCGGCCTGTCGACATGTTTCCATCCAGCGATTCCTTCCACTTCTACACATTATGACTCAATGATGAAGACAACATTCCTTTGAAATCTGTGTGTGTTTCAATTAGCAAATTATTGATTCATAAATGTTTCACGCTCTGCGAGCTCGTTCTCCACGTCTCACATGAGTAGTTCAAGGACCGTCGGGAAGTTGGCTATCCAGTGATTTTTTTTCTGTTTTTATACTTTCTGGCTCCGTTAATGCTGTAATTTTGGCAATATTTTAAAGATAACACAGATTTCAAGTTTGTCTGTGGGTTTGGAGGATTAATTAACCAGCAAATGAGTGACTCTTAACGCCAGCTGCCTTTATTTGCAGACCGGCTTAAGTTGGTGGATACGTCGATAGCTAGTGTGTCAGTCAGACCAGGATCGATCCGTCCGACCGATAATCAGCCGGTAGCTGAAATGTCCATCCGGTGTGAAGGCCGCCTCGTTGTTCTACCACATCTACCTGGTGGGGAGGAGGAGGAGGAATCCTGCAGGGTGCTTCAGTCGGGGGACAAGAGAGCAGCCAAGGAGTGGAGCCGCTAATGCAGACGAGAGGCGAGCGCTGCCTGATTTCACACCCATTATCACCTGCTGCAGAGGCACGGCGAGCGGAAAATGAAGGCGAAGGGAAGCCCGAGTGTGTGTTGGCGCTCATTGATAAGCGGCTGTGTTTTTGTAAGACCCCGACGCTTCGGCCGCCTCCCCGCCTTCCTGCCACCTCGTCCCGTCCTCCTACGTGGCCGCGGCTGCATGCAAAGTGAGACATTTGAGGAAAAACAACCAAATGAAAGTCGTGGCTCGTTTGCTGCTTCGGCCTTTGAAGCCGCTGATCACACGTAATGCGAGAGTCGTGTTTGTCGGATGGATTTAGCCAAAGTCTCCTCTACTTCCCTCCCCTAATCCAATCTTTTATCTGGTCCGTACTTCCCCGCGGATTCCCCCTCGCTTTCTATTTTTTTCCTCTGTTCATTCTTAATTTTCTCTCTGGTGAATTGAAACGCAGATTAAAGCTGCTTTTTAAAAAAAATAAGAAATCTGAGGCTTTAAAATGTGCTTTAGCGAAACGAGGGAGTTTCTGAGCGTAAGAAAAATAAAAGCGCAGAATTATCTGGTGGCTTCTCGTGTGCTCCTTCGCAGGGATTTTCTCAGCTTCCTCGCATGCGTCTGATGTTTCTGTGTTTCTTCTTCTCCCTCTGCAGCGTGTCCTCCTGGTTCGTACAAGATGTCCTCCAGGCAGCAGGAGTGTTTTCCCTGCCCGGCCAACAGCGTGGCCGAGGAGGAGGGCTCGGTGGTGTGCATGTGTGAGGAGGACCACTTCAGGACTCCCCTGGACAATCCCTCGGCTCCCTGCACACGTAACAAACAATCATTTATTTATGTGTCCTCTCAAACTGCTCCGGCTTTTCTCGTTCTGTCGTTTTTCCATCACTCACCCGCTTCACGTTGACACTTCTTGCATTAAGCGAGCAGCTTTTCATGCCGCTGGGCCGATCGTTTCCTCACCCGCCCGTCCGGCCTTTCATATATCCAGAAATTTCCATTTGCCTCTTTGTCCATAAAGATCAATTTGCCGTCTTCAGACCCTGAGCTTCACCCGTCCTTCACCTCTTTCATCTCATCGTCTGACCTTCCTCCTCCCCTCGTCACCCCGTTTCCATCTCGCCCACCTTCACCTCTCCTTCGCCTCCTTCGCCTCCTCGTCCTTCATCCACCAACAAGATCTGTTTCTTTTATTGCTGACCAGGAATTAGTCCGTCCCGCGGCCTCGTGCTGCTCCGCTGAGAAAACGCAGGAGATCTCTTGTGACGTTTGAATTAAAAATCTGTTTTACTTAAGAAATATCCAGCCCGATTAATCCTGTATAGTTTTTAACCCTCCAGCAGGTTTATCTTTAAAACATTACACCGTTTATCAGAGCTAGAAGCTGTGAAAACAGAAAAATGATCAGATTTGATTAAAGTCTTTCACCTGCTCAGCTCTGTTGGGAAAATTTAACAATTTACGATGTTTAGAACGGGGATATTTCATTAAAATCTCAGTTTTTTAAAATAAATAAATAAATGAAATAAAAAAAAAAAAAAAATCCGGGAATTTTTTGGCTGAACTGCTGGCAGTGTTTACACCGAGCAGACAGGAAACCAGCACAGAAATAAATCAGAAATACAAATAGTTATTTCTAATTTAATCCACCGAATCATTTCTGCTTTTCGCAGCACTTCCAGATGGTTCCTTTTGGTTTATGTACCAGGATGAGGACCTGCTCTTTGTGCAGCAGTTTAGATTTAAACTGAACATATTGAGATGTGTCGTCACAGCTGATGAATTTATCGATAAGAGTCGCTTTCGTACATTATTTACTTTATTAATTACATCACTGTTCGACCTTCTGAGCCCCGACACCTACCAGCAGCTTCCTAAAGCGTTTTATCTTCACCAGAATTACACGTTTTTACGAATTTTACGTTTATCAAAGCCAGAAATCATAAGAGCAGAACTAAGCGTCTGGTTTTCAGACTGTCCTCGAACTACTCATCTGTGCAGCTTTATTGTGAAAATTTACTGAATCTAATCATTTCATCAAGATAATTTTATCTTACATGCGTTTGCACTAAATAGAAAAACACAGATTTCTGCCTTTCTTTGCACAGAATTTGTGACTCAACAAGAAAAAGAGACGAGTACAGAAAAAAATAATAAAAATGGTCAATATTTATAAGATCAGATCGACTTTATTCATTCCGAGGGAAACTGTTTTGCCAGAGTACGACAAACAAAGGCCAGAGAAATACAGACAATTACAGAAAGGTTAGTGATTAAAGTGCAAAATGCAAAATGCAAAGTGTCGAAGTGGAAATAAAGAAGAAGTAAAACAAAAATAACACGAGCACAAAAATGTGAGCTAAAGAACAAGAAACAGAAAATGAAGTGAAAGTAAACGGATGTGTTGCACAGAAATATCGTACTTGACCATGATGCACAGCTACAATAATAATAATAATAATAATAATAATAATTGTAATGATAATAACAATAGTAATCATTTATAAAGTCACATGACTCCGGTGTTGGTCACAGCTTTGGAAAATGTCGTTCACGTCGACTCAGGTTTTTATCAAATTGTTAGTAAAATAAATCATCAAAGAACTTCAGCTTCTCGTCCTCTCTCCTTCACCGCAAACAGATTTTGTAAAAATAATAAAATAAAGTAAATAAATACGATATTTGGGCTCATCTGTGCAGCTGTGAAGCCGTCAGAGACTTCTGGGCTGCAGGCGGCGTTCACACCGAACAGGGAAGAAAGAGAACCAATAAAAACCACCGTTATATGATAAATCATCTCTAATCGTTACTGTTGCTGATTTCTGTGGTTCTGACTGTGAAGCAGACGGTTCTGGGTTCTCTCTCCTTCTTCGTTCTGGTTCCGTCGAGCTGCAGGACTTCAGACTGTGAGGAACAAACGGACCAGGAGCCACTCGGGGGTTAAAGTCGACTCTCTGATGAGTGGACGTCTTCGGGAACATCGGTGTCATTACGCCGTTGTTTCCGGCCGGACTTTGTGCTTCCCGTGACCCGCTCTGAGGCCCGGTCCTCTAATAGCACATGATGCGTCCGCCCGGCGCTGCCATCTCCTCCCCCTCTTAACCTCGCTCCCTTTTATCACCCGGCCGTCTTTCATCCCTCCTGACATTACGTCCGCATTATTCATCCAGAAAAGAAAAAAAAGGCCCATTTCCTCTCCGTCTCTTTGCTTAACCCCGAGCGTCCTCGCCACCTTTTCTCCCGACATTACGGATCCATTTTGTGCTCAGGGTCCATTATCTGGCTCTTCTCTTCCCGTTCCCATTCGACGCTCGAACACTTCTTTTCCATTCTAACATCTTCTTCTTCCATCTGTCAGACCGAGATGTGCCATAATCTCACTTCCTTCCTGGGCTGATCGATCCCTGCGTGCCGAGCGGCCTATTGATGCGTCTCAGTAATTAGATGGAGGAATGATGTGCTCCGTGTCCGGGCAGGCCAGTAAAAGCAGAAGGTCACCGCAGGTCTCGGCATACGTGAAGAGCCAGCGTCTTCTTTTTTTTTTACGGCGATGGAGGAGTTTAATTACCATATTGATCGCTGAGCTCTCTGATCCCTGTGCGATAACATTTATAGCAGCCTAATGACCACATTAATTACACTATTGATTCAGTAATTATGATCATCCCCAGATTCGGCTAATCCACCGAGCTGCTGCTGCTGCAGAGACGGAGCCGTGCATCCAGAACTATACGAATAAAAGGAAGAGAGAAGAGAGGAAAGAAGAAGGGGGAGATTTTGCCGTGTTATCTCCGCAATTAAAGAATAATACCAGTGTGGTTTTATTCTTCTCCCTTTGCCATTAAAGCAGCCCTGATGTGTTCACCGCGGCTCTGACGGTGTTCTGAAAAGCGAGATCCATCCGTTACCACGCCGCTGATTACGCCTGTTAATGAAGACTGTCGGGGAGTTTCCATCACAGACGGAAACTTCAGGAAAGAGTCTCGCTGGAGGAATAACTTCTTGGGTTTCTGGCAGACGGACGCTGACAGCCACGACGGCGTGATGAGGAAACCGTAAAGTGATGCGTAATGTTTGTCGATGGACACAAAGGAGATGTTTGAGACCAGAGGACAGATGAAGCTGTAGCTCTGGAGGACAAGCTGAGAACCCTCTGAACGGATTTCTAATTTCTTTAATCCTAAACCTGCTATCTGACAGGTTTTTAGGAAAACCCAACAGAACCCATAAAAACAGCCTTAACATAGCGACAGCCTTGGATTGTGACTCCGACATGACATTTAATGTCACCAATCAGGATGACGGCGTATTATCTGACTGAACAATCCCACAGATTGGCTACGTTCACACTGCAGGACTTGATGCTCAATGAGGATTTCTTTGTGACTTCCTTCACGTTTCCAGTTCAATGCGACTTGTATGTGATCTGCTGTGTGAACTTCATACGAGCCAAAAGTGTCCCGCATGCGCAGAAGAGGACACGACGACGTCACACGCAGCGAGCGTGCTCAGTGTTTATGGAAGTAAACATGGATGGTAACGGTGGAGCGTATCTGCCACTCCCCCGCCGCCACCGATGGAGGAAACAGAAGTGTGAGCGCTAACTAAACTAGCATCAGCAGCCAAGTACTGCCTGTGTGTTCTGGACACTTCCACCCCGTCAGAGCGCTGCCCCGGGGTGGAAGTGTCCCCCGACCGGGACAGATATTCGGATATTCATCTTTAACTGGACCTTTATTGGGCCAGAGAGCAGAAAGTGCTATTGGGACCAGCCCTACTAGTTATTATAACAACTATGAACAATAATTAACAACTAATGAGCCTTCCAGCATCAAGCCCTCCTCGTATCTGGACCTCCGTCTGGACAATCCGACAGCCTTGATATCCAACATAGAAGAAGGTTTTACATTTAGAGTCGGATCATCGAGTCACGACTGTATTTAAAAGAGGAGATTCATGGTTTGCTGTGATGTGGTTTGTTTGAAACATCATGTGGCTGCAGAGTGAATCCAGGTGAGTCGGAGGGACAGAACAAAAGGCCCAGCTGTGTCTTATGTAACTCCACGCGTGAGCGGGAACAGGACGCAGCTGTGGACGGTCGGACAGCGCCAACGGAGCGGCGCACCTTCACTTATTCATCGCGCAGCACATGCTCACATATAAAATTCATGGCCTTTAATGGACCGAGGCTCCTTGTGCCGAGGACCTGCATGAAGAAAAGGCTCGGGTCAGCCAGGACGCCGGCGCTCTGCTGCACTTCATCTGCAGCCCAACGCTGCAGAATCACACAGCCAGGCCTTATGGGTTAGAAAACACGAGCGTAATCCGGCAGCAGGTTTTTTTTACCTTCATGTCAGAACAGACTCATGTTCTGCTGCTTCCCTTCATGGACCCAGAGCAGGTGGAGGACGCGTTCCTCCATCAGGACCTAATGGACAGACCTGCTGTGGACGCACGCACACGCTCAGAAAACCACTCATATTCATGTCGGAAGCATTAAGGACCTCACTGATCTGCTGCTGTTACATGTTTCCACATAATCCCTCCGTTATCAGCCTGTCAGGCCTTAATAAAGCCTCCTCACACGTCTCCGTGGCCTCCTCCCATCGGGGTCAAACGCTTCTCATGAAAACAATTGTTTTCCTCACAGCAAATCCTCAATCAAACCGGATTATCGCCGCGTTATGTGCAAACTGAGCTCGTGCAAAACCAGACCGCCAGTTTTAGAAACAGCAAATCGTGCAGAAATACACGATTTTTTATTAATCCAGGAGGTTTTGCACGAGTGGAATGCAGCTTTTTATTTTTTTAACATTTACAGTTAAATGAATGACAAAAAGTGGACGTTAAACTCTGAAAAGTGATGTTTGGGCTCGATGACAAACAAAAACGCAGCAGTTTGCGTCGATCGTTCTGAGATTTAAAAGCTTCTGTGTGAAAACTAGGGATTAGATCCACAATAAAAAGAAAACACATTTTTATTTAACCAGCAGTTTGGAAATCCTGAAGTCAAGGTCAAGAAAAGTCAAGTTGTCAAGTCAGTTTCATGAGAACTTGAATTCAGTTTTAAGTCGACTAATACAAACAATTTGAGTTTAAATTACACCAAATATTGAGTTAACGCAACTTTCTATGTCTTTGCATTGAGATTCTGCATTTAATGAAACGGTTTTCAGAACAAAAATCTGATTTGCTGACGTCAGTAAACCGTTTGAACTATTATTTTAAGCATCAGTTTGAGTCGTGTTGACGTAACGATGCACCAAGTTGACAATTTCAGTTCAAGTTGAAGCTCAATAGTTTAATTTCTTCACCCTGACTTCAGGATTTCCAGTCTCCTGTTTTATCTCAACATGCTGAACTTTGTACAAGCCGTATAATTATAATTATAATAATTATGAACACTTTATTGTGCATTCAGTTTATTTTTCTTATTTTTTTTATCCTTAGTTTTCCAGATATTTTGTTCTGAACATGCAGCTGTGATCAGACACGATTGATTATTTTGAAGCATAACTGATGTTTTTGAGCTGTTTCTTGGTAGTGACGAGATTTTAAATCCCAGATTACAGATATTGAAGCAGGAACGTGTTTAACTTTTAAGTTTATTATCTTCTTCGTTGTTTGTGTCGCATGTTCCCAACAAGAAAAACGCCCGTAAACGCTGTTCTATCTTCTGCAGGGCCTCCCTCGCCGCCCAGAGACCTGGTCTACACCCTGAAGCAGTCCACGCTGATCCTGGAGTGGTCGGCGCCGTCGGACTCGGGCGGCCGGGTGGACCTGACCTACAGCGTGGGCTGCCGGCGCTGCGTGGGCCGGCAGTGCGAGCCGTGCGGGGCCAGCGTGGGCTTCGTGCCGCAGCAGGTGGGCCTGACGGAGAGGACGGTGACGGTGGTCAACCTGCTGCCCAACACCAACTACACCTTCACCGTGGAGGCCCTGAATGGGGTGTCGGAGCTGCTGCCCAGCAAGAGGTTCTACACGCAGGTCAACGTGTCCACGAGTCTGCCCGGTGAGTCCAGCTTTATAAAAAACCACCACGCAGCCAGGAGATGAAATTACACCAAAAAAACTGTGCTCATGAGTTCAGCTGAACCAGAACGAGCTCAATGCAGCTCCAGACAGAACAGA